ACATAGTGCCCCGAAATGCTTATAGAATAACACACTTTATGACCATCAAGCTTATGCGGTTCAGTTGTTCCTACTTTTCCATCTCTCACTTGTCATCCCATCAGATGTACTCTTATCAGTAAGTGGAGTAAGTTGATCGACTCGTAAAATTAGGTCTAGATCCATGACTCTAACAACAATCATCACGTTCTCTTGCCATGCCTTAAATTTGGTGCCATTAAGCATTGACATTGAATTGATGCTAGTAGAGATATTAACAGCAGAATCTGAAACTAAATTAGAGAACAATTAATTGGAAGAGCTCACAATCCTTTATATGCAAATAATAATTTCAAATAGTGGTAGGGCCCATCACAAGATACCTAGCACAACATCAATATTTAGTCTTTGGACAGAAATATTGACTTGTAAGTGGTACTCTTGTTGTAGTGATCAAACATTGACAATAAATAAACATGTCAATTAATAAANCATTGGAATAGAATTGATGTTAGCGGAGATATTAGCAGCAGAACCTGAAACTGAGTTTAGAGAACGATTAAGTTGAAGAACTCACAATCCTTAATATGCAAATATTCAATTTCAAATAGTGGTAGGGCCCATCACAAGATACCTAACACAACATCAATATTCAGTTTTTTGAAGTGTGGTGATCAAACACTGACAATAAAGAAATACGTCAATCAATAAACGTTTCTTTGGACCGATTTATTGATCACACGTTAAACCAAATAATAGCCATATGTTTTATCATCACAGGTGTATGTACAATTCGACCAAATATTGATCTTCATGTGAAACGATCAAATATTCACATGAATAACACACACACAAACACATTTTAATATTTTAAGTTAATTAATTTCCACAAGAGAGATTGCTTTAGCAACATCTTACTTCAATTAATTCATTTTCGAATATTATACCTCTCAAACGAGCCATTTGTACCAAAATTTGAAAAAGAAAATCACAGAATCTTCATATTTGATTTATTTCGAAACTTTAAGGACCAATGGTTAATAATTCAGAACTTTAGGGATTAAAAATTAATTTTCAAAACTTTAGGGGTCAATAATTAATTATTCAAAATTTTAGGGGCCAATTTAAACAAATTATAAACTTTTAGGGGCTTAATTACAAAATTCAGAACTTTAATGGGACAAATTAATTAATTTTCAAACTTCAAGAACTGAATTATTAAACTTGAAACTTTAAAGGCTCAATTTGAATGAATTTTAACCATAAGGGACTGAATTACCAAAATTCTAAACTTAAGGGGCTGAATCAATAAAAATTAATATTTTAAAATTGCAACCCTAGCCTGATCTAAAATTACAAACAAGGACCTTAAATATTCAAATTTACTGCCCAAGTTCCTACCCTCAAAATCCACTAAACCCTAAAATGAAAAGGAAAAAGGTGAGATGGGGGAGGAGCGCTGCCCCCAAAAGCCAACGCGGCAAGTGCTACGCGCAGCGGCGATAGGCGTCGCAGCAACACGTAGCTGCACAGGCAGTGGTACTGCGCGCGATGCAGCGCCGGGGCAGTGTGAGCGCTGCCGCACGCTGCCGACACCGCCAAATGAATTTTATTTTATTTTTTTTTGAAAAAAAGAAATTTGAAATTCTAGGAAACCGACCGAATAATTTTCAAATTTAACAAAACTAATACCAAAATTGCTAAATTTGAAAACGCATGAAATTACACAAGAATCAAATTAAAATTTTGATTCTCAATGATTCAACATGAATAGACTCATGATTAATGCAATGAATGAATCCTATGATTTTAGTCTTCCAGATCAGCATGTTGTTCATTTGTTTCTCTCTAAAGGTGGAAGTCGGGACATAATGAACAATTCACGTGTGATCCGGGGACCACAACTATATATATATACACACACACACATACGAATAGTTCATTGACCTAATTCGGCTCATTATGAAATTAAGAATGTGCATGGTCTCTACACATAAAGCCTCACACTTTAATTAGATGTTTCAAAGTCCAAAATATCGAAACGTTATTAAATCACTTTAAACGGGCTTAACCAAAATTCATAGTTTATAATTTAATACACAATATTTCACATATAAGACTACATGTTCAATTAAAATCCTTACAATAGAAATCTGTGAACAAGACGATAACGATCTTTTTTGTGTGGCTTGGCCCGTTGTTCCACGTTTTTACAATAACATTCTCTGGGGAAGCAAGGAAGGGGAAACATTTATTTCAGCATCCAACAAAACATCCTCCCAATATACTACTGTACAATTTAGCGACGTGATGTATGGTATGGTTGTATTAACAAACATTTCGAGGATCTGACTGAGGGTTCCATTTTTCGAAAGGAAAGTTTGGATCAAAGGGTCGACTTTCCAACAGTTTGAAATGACTTCAGCGGCTTCTGCATGATAGAGTTGATCTGGGAACATTGAAGTAACATCATGAACAACATTATCGACAACTTGAAAAGTCTTAGGATGTAAAGGATTCAGTTGGCTGGTTCCTGGTTCGGCTGCAAGCCGGTCAGGCCATCAGAACATGTTCGCACAAATGATGGTTTCGGGGTAAGACTCAGCCCACAATCCCATTTGAACTGCAATATGCAAATTAAAGTTCAGTGACTGCAATCACCACCAATATTTGATATGAACCATTCACTACAATAAACAAGATTTTAGCTTGTCTTTCTTTGAAATATCCAATACAATTTAAGTCACTTAACAAAATGCTGATTAAGGCATATTATCTATATTGGACCATAGACACCACCATTATTATGAATGAAAAGCTTGTAGGCACTTCGAAAATGCAAATTAGTCCAGGAAAATCAAATGGAGCCTACGACTATTATGAACTTCGACTTCTGCCTTAAAAAGAGCACGATAAAAACACAAGCTTTGCAGATCAAATGTTAAATTCTACAATTCCTAAAATGTTGACTTTCTAATTCATCTAGAGTTCCATATCAATCTCAAAAAACACCAGATAAAGTAACTACTGAACAAAAGAAGAATTACGAATAAAGAGATTCAAAAACTACTGTAATAGTGCTTATCTTGCATTTGATCAAATGTGACTTGTAACATTATTAACATGAACCAATTGAAATTCGATTTAATAATTTCATACTTCACAAATTGAAAATTTCAACCCTTTTAGATTTGAATCACTTGCCTTTTTCATTATAATTTTTTAGTAAATTTTGATAAAAGTTGCTGAAATGTGTTATTGAAAAGTTGTGCATCCCATGAAATATGTGATTAAAATTAATTGTTGATATAAAATTTTTATTTTGAACAAACATGGGCTTCATATCTTCATTCAAAGAAAAAGTGTAGAAAAGGATTTACTCACCAGTCATGTAAATCTCCGGCACCACTCTAACCCTATATTCCATCCCAAACTCCACTAGCTCCGGCTCTGACAGCAACACTATCGGAAACGAATGTGAATCCGCAATGGAAAACATTCAATTTATTCATACCCATGGCCTTTACGAGCCTCAACAAATCCTTCACCCCATAATAATTTCTCGATGTGCCTAGCATGATTCCGCGATGCATGAAAAGTGGTACGTCGGATATGTACAACCCGCACGCCACCATTGATGGGCTCAAGTAAACGAGCTGGGAAAATGTTTCCAGCCCACGCATTGCACCCCCATATAGTTTGCGCCGTTAGAATCGTGTTTACATCGGAGGAAGGGATGGTGAGGGTGTATGATTCGTTTACTCCGTGAGTTAACGGGGAGGTGACTTCGGCGACGGTGATAACAAGGATGGTTAACAGTGGCGCTGACGTCAGATTGAGGGGTGGATTGAGGAGGTGAAGGTGGTGCTCCGTCAAAACTTGGCAGAGGTAACGGCTGACTGCGGGGGCCTGCACTGGCGGACACAAGGGAGGGGGGGCACGTGCCCCCCAACTTTGCTTTGCTTTGCCTTTTTTTTTTTAATTTTCTATGTT